GACTACCGTCCGCGGGACCTCTGATCGGTCGAGGAGGGCAGCAAAAGGGTCCGTGAGCACTGCTGGAGCCCGACCGAGGCCGCCGCAGATCTTCAACAGCCCGGCGGCGCGCGTGCCGCGAGGAAGCAGCGGGGGGCCAGATCTCGCGCAGGGGCGACGAATTCGGCGCCTCCGCGCCCACGGCAGCTTCAGCCCTTTTCTGCCGCTGCTTCCGCCGGGCCGGAGTCGTTTTTGCGGCCCTCAAGAGCGAGAGAGTCGGCCGAAGAAAACGGACGCGCCGATCGAGATTCGAGGCTGGCCGTCGCGATCGGCGCCCCGACCAACCTTTCCGTGCAACCCAACTTCAAGTGCCCTGATTCGCTCAGATCAATGCTACTATCTTTCTATTCATAAAGGTTCGCTGCATCCTGGCGCTGAAGCGGCGATCGCCGTGCCCAGGATGAATGCGGAAAGGCGGCTCTAGGAGAGTCCGAGGCGGTTGGTCAAGCGATAGCTGTAGGCACTAAAAGAGACGAGGAAGAAAGACAGAGGGCCAGAACTACGACGAAATCATCAGAAGGCGAAAGCAGAAGGTCGTGATCCTCGTCGGCGTACGAACCAGCGGGCCAGCACAAGCCTCGATCGGAACAGGCTCGGAAGTCATTCTGAGAAGGGTTCTTTCAGGCTGGCAAATGGCTGTTCCAGTTCAGAGACAGGCGTCGACTTTGGCGCAGCTCCTTCTGGCCCACTGAGGACCTCGTCAAGGATCGGCTCCGAACGGCAGGCCCGTCGAGTGCCCGTTGGCAAGGTATACGGTCAAGAGTGGCTCGGTGCGATTTCGGAGCGGTATGAAGACAACCACAAAGGATGGTCGACACGCAGAACGGTCCAGGTCTGTGTCCCGTCGAGCGGACCCGGATGCGGCGCAAAGACGGTCGGGCAGCCAGATTCGGTGTTCCTCTCCGTGCTCCTGCCCATCGACATCAATTTGCATCGCCTCTCGATAGGGAAAGGGCCGTAGCGCCGCGGTGCCGGCGAAGTGGCACCCCAAGACGATTCCGCGGCAACCTGGCCATTCCGGGCCGCGTCTGGAGAGCGACTAGACGCCTCGACGGTCTCTCCGCGGCAGGAGGGACCACATGGCACGGGAAACGCAAGTCAACTCGCATCGGGGAACAGGTGCCGCGATAGGGTGGAGACAGGGGTAGCGCGAGGTACGGGTCCCGGCGTCGGCGCGGCCCTCCGGCGCGGCTCGCGAACGCGTCTGCGCCAGCGCAGGGCAAGGGCGCGGAAGCATCGAGTCTGTCCGGCGACGCGACGAGCCGCCCGCGGTGCTCCCGGGGAGGAAGCGGGTTGCATGCTCGGAGACAGACCCATCATGCTGGGCCGGCTTGACCTGCTCGTTTCCGAGCCCATCACTGCAGCGCTCGACCGCAAAGATGTTCTTGAGACAAGGCAAGCATGCTAGTAGGGCGGACATGCGGATCCGTCATCGGATGTCGAAGTGGCGGTGGACAGCCGCTTACTGTGATCCGTGGCTGGCCTTGACTGTGCAGGGCCTGCCCTCACCCACCAGCTGGCATCTGATAAGGAGATAATTACTAGAAAAGGACGACGGAGACAAAGATAAAGACCGCCAGATTGTTGTGTTGCCAATCAATGTCACGACTGGATGTGGGGACAATGGCCGGCCGGCAGCGCTTCGATCGTTCTCGCAGGAGATCGAGATCGACAGGCCGGCCGATCTTTGCCGCAAGCATCCAAAGCACCATCGAGAATTGAAAGAAACGGGCATCCGATGTTGGTGCAGTATCGGGGTGCATGTACAAGCAGAGCCGTCTCTTGAGCTGTGAGGCCGGGTGCGTGGGCTAGGTATTGCCCCCGGCGCTCGGAGGGTGCCGTGCGGCCGGCGCCGCGAACGTGGTGCAAAACAGCAAGGAAGGCAAAAGGAACCATTTCGTCGGAAGCAGGATTCGGAACCTGCTGCCCGAGGAGAGGTCGCATCGGCGCACAGGTGGAGGTGATGGCCCCGGCGCTCGGAGGGTGCCGTGCGGCCGGCGCCGCGAACGTGGTGCAAAACAGCAAGGAAGGCAAAAGGAACCATTTCGTCGGAAGCAGGATTCGGAACCTGCTGCCCGAGGAGAGGTCGCATCGGCGCACAGGTGGAGGTGATGGCCCCGGCGCTCGGAGGGTGCCGTGCGGCCGGCGCCGCGAACGTGGTGCAAAACAGCAAGGAAGGCAAAAGGAACCATTTCGTCGGAAGCAGGATTTGGAACCTGCTGCCCGAGGAGAGGTCGCATCGGCGCACAGGTGGAGGTGATGGCCCCGGCGCTCGGAGGGTGCCGTGCGGCCGGCGCCGCGAACGTGGTGCAAAACAGCAAGGAAGGCAAAAGGAACCATTTCGTCGGAAGCAGGATTCGGAACCTGCTGCCCGAGGAGAGGTCGCATCGGCGCACAGGTGGAGGTGATGGCCCCGGCGCTCGGAGGGTGCCGTGCGGCCGGCGCCGCGAACGTGGTGCAAAACAGCAAGGAAGGCAAAAGGAACCATTTCGTCGGAAGCAGGATTTGGAACCTGCTGCCCGAGGAGAGGTCGCATCGGCGCACAGGTGGAGGTGATGGCCCCGGCGCTCGGAGGGTGCCGTGCGGCCGGCGCCGCGAACGTGGTGCAAAACAGCAAGGAAGGCAAAAGGAACCATTTCGTCGGAAGCAGGATTCGGAACCTGCTGCCCGAGGAGAGGTCGCATCGGCGCACAGGTGGAGGTGATGGCCCCGGCGCTCGGAGGGTGCCGTGCGGCCGGCGCCGCGAACGTGGTGCAAAACAGCAAGGAAGGCAAAAGGAACCATTTCGTCGGAAGCAGAGCAGGATTCGGAACCTGCTGCCCGAGGAGAGGTCGCATCGGCGCACAGGTGGAGGTGATGGCCCCGGCGCTCGGAGGGTGCCGTGCGGCCGGCGCCGCGAACGTGGTGCAAAACAGCAAGGAAGGCAAAAGGAACCATTTCGTCGGAAGCAGGATTGGAACCTGCTGCCCGAGGAGAGGTCGCATCGGCGCACAGGTGGAGGTGATGGCCCCGGCGCTCGGAGGGTGCCGTGCGGCCGGCGCCGCGAACGTGGTGCAAAACAGCAAGGAAGGCAAAAGGAACCATTTCGTCGGAAGCAGGATTCGGAACCTGCTGCCCGAGGAGAGGTCGCATCGGCGCACAGGTGGAGGTGATGGCCCCGGCGCTCGGAGGGTGCCGTGCGGCCGGCGCCGCGAACGTGGTGCAAAACAGCAAGGAAGGCAAAAGGAACCATTTCGTCGGAAGCAGGATTCGGAACCTGCTGCCCGAGGAGAGGTCGCATCGGCGCACAGGTGGAGGTGATGGCCCCGGCGCTCGGAGGGTGCCGTGCGGCCGGCGCCGCGAACGTGGTGCAAAACAGCAAGGAAGGCAAAAGGAACCATTTCGTCGGAAGCAGGATTCGGAACCTGCTGCCCGAGGAGAGGTCGCATCGGCGCACAGGTGGAGGTGATGGCCCCGGCGCTCGGAGGGTGCCGTGCGGCCGGCGCGCGAACGTGGTGCAAAACAGCAAGGAAGGCAAAAGGAACCATTTCGTCGGAAGCAGGATTCGGAACCTGCTGCCCGAGGAGAGGTCGCATCGGCGCACAGGTGGAGGTGATGGCCCCGGCGCTCGGAGGGTGCCGTGCGGCCGGCGCCGCGAACGTGGTGCAAAACAGCAAGGAAGGCAAAAGGAACCATTTCGTCGGAAGCAGGATTCGGAACCTGCTGCCCGAGGAGAGGTCGCATCGGCGCACAGGTGGAGGTGATGCCCGCCAGCAAGGAAGGCAAAAGGAACCATTTCGTCGGAAGCAGGATTCGGAACCTGCTGCCCGAGGAGAGGTCGCATCGGCGCACAGGTGGAGGTGATGGCCCCGGCGCTCGGAGGGTGCCGTGCGGCCGGCGCCGCGAACGTGGTGCAAAACAGCAAGGAAGGCAAAAGGAACCATTTCGTCGGAAGCAGGATTCGGAACCTGCTGCCCGAGGAGAGGTCGCATCGGCGCACAGGTGGAGGTGATGGCCCCGGCGCTCGGAGGGTGCCGTGCGGCCGGCGCCGCGAACGTGGTGCAAAACAGCAAGGAAGGCAAAAGGAACCATTTCGTCGGAAGCAGGATTCGGAACCTGCTGCCCGAGGAGAGGTCGCATCGGCGCACAGGTGGAGGTGATGGCCCCGGCGCTCGGAGGGTGCCGTGCGGCCGGCGCCGCGAACGTGGTGCAAAACAGCAAGGAAGGCAAAAGGAACCATTTCGTCGGAAGCAGGATTCGGAACCTGCTGCCCGAGGAGAGGTCGCATCGGCGCACAGGTGGAGGTGATGGCCCCGGCGCTCGGAGGGTGCCGTGCGGCCGGCGCCGCGAACGTGGTGCAAAACAGCAAGGAAGGCAAAAGGAACCATTTCGTCGGAAGCAGGATTCGGAACCTGCTGCCCGAGGAGAGGTCGCATCGGCGCACAGGTGGAGGTGATGGCCCCGGCGCTCGGAGGGTGCCGTGCGGCCGGCGCCGCGAACGTGGTGCAAAACAGCAAGGAAGGCAAAAGGAACCATTTCGTCGGAAGCAGGATTCGGAACCTGCTGCCCGAGGAGAGGTCGCATCGGCGCACAGGTGGAGGTGATGGCCCCGGCGCTCGGAGGGTGCCGTGCGGCCGGCGCCGCGAACGTGGTGCAAAACAGCAAGGAAGGCAAAAGGAACCATTTCGTCGGAAGCAGGATTCGGAACCTGCTGCCCGAGGAGAGGTCGCATCGGCGCACAGGTGGAGGTGATGGCCCCGGTGCTCGGAGGGTGCCGTGCGGCCGGCGCCGCGAACGTGGTGCAAAACAGCAAGGAAGGCAAAAGGAACCATTTCGTCGGAAGCAGGATTCGGAACCTGCTGCCCGAGGAGAGGTCGCATCGGCGCACAGGTGGAGGTGATGGCCCCGGCGCTCGGAGGGTGCCGTGCGGCCGGCGCCGCGAACGTGGTGCAAAACAGCAAGGAAGGCAAAAGGAACCATTTCGTCGGAAGCAGGATTCGAACCTGCGCCCTCGGAGAGGAGAAGATGCAACGTCTCCGGACCGGAATCCGGGTAATTCGAATCTTCCGCGGTAGACCACTGCGCCATTCCGACTCTTTCCTGTGCTCCTGGAGAAGATGGGGCCGTTTGGGCGGCCTCCGGCCGCCTTTCAGGCGGCGGAGGCGCACCTTGCGCGCCCTTCGGGCGCCAAACCTAACCCGCAAGCTGTCTGCGCGGTCAGTAAACCTAATTCGTGCAGATTGGTGCCAGATGGATGCCACTGTGAAGGTTTGGATGAGTTCCAAGGAAGTGATCTTCGGTCGGGCTCCGCCCGACCTGGGAACCGGACCGTATCCGGGTAATTCGATCTTCCGCGGTAGACCACTGCGCCATTCCGACTCTTTCCTGTGCTCCTGGAGAGGATGGGGCCGTTTGGGCGGCCTCCGGCCGCCTTTCAGGCGGCGGAGGCGCACCTTGCGCGCCCTTCGGGCGCCAAACCTAACCCGCAAGCTGTCTGCGCGGTCAAATTACATTGCCAATACCTGATCGGTGCCTATCGTTGTCGGTGCGTGGCATTTGAAGCCTTTCGACTGGCTAGACTTCGCGAGTGAATGATGCTTATACGGTGGAGCCGTTGAATCTTTGAAAGTGTCAGTGCATGTCGCATCACCAGACCCATATATGCTCCAGCAGCCTGTATTCTTGCTCTCTGTAGGTTGATGGATTACCCACTTGGTCTAGGGCGTCTGTTTTCGTCCGGCGCGGGTGCAGGGGCCCAACGGCGCTTCTGGCTCGTCAACAACACGGCCCGCCGCGCGCATGAAGCGCTACCCGTGCCAGCCGTTCGCCTGCGCCGTGCAGGCGTGCTTGGAAGCCAACAACTTCAAGGACACGGAGCGCAAGTGCGCCGATGCGGTGCGGAAGCTCGAGGAGTGCTGTCTGCGCGAACGCAAGGTCGAGGGCGGGCAGGTCGTCGAATCGGAGGGGTGCGCCGGCGTGCTCGCGTCGAGGGACAAGAGAGATGCCAAACCTTCGTGAAAACTGCTTGCAGTGATCCTTCCGAGCGGACGGAATCGGCGTGCCGGACAAAACGGGACCGGGACGCGACGCGCTCTAGGGATTCGGACGCGCTCTATGGCATTACTGCCCGGCATTACAGCTTCGCCGGCTCGTCGTCCTCCTGGGCCTCCAACCAGCGTTCGCACTCGAGCGCGGCCATGCAGCCCGAACCGGCGGCGGTGACGGCCTGGCGGTACACCTTGTCCTGGACGTCTCCGCAGGCAAACAGGCCCTCGATGTTTGTCAAGGTCGTCCCCGGCTTCGTCACGATGTAGCCATCTTCATCCATCTCGAGCTGGGAGCCCTTGAAGATCTGGGTGTTGGGACTGCGAGATCGAAAAGTCAGTACATTGTCGCTGATCTGTACCAAAGAAGGCTACCCACACGTGGCCGATGGCGTAAAAGAGCCCATTGACCTCCATCGTCCTCTTCTCCCCCGTCTTGGTGTCCTGGACGACGAGCTCCTTGAGCAGCCTGTCCCCCTTTGCCTCTACCGGGATGGTGTTCCACATGATTTCGACCTTGGGGTGGTGGGACACACGGTTGGCCATCACTTTGGAGGCCCGCAGAACGTCCCGTCGGACGAGCATGTAGACTTTGCTCGCGTAACGCGTGAGGAATAGTGCCTCCTCGGCGGCCGAGTCGCCGCCGCCGACGACGACCAGGGGTTTCTGCCGGAACTGAAAAGGGCAGACGTCAGCGAGATTCCAAGCACCTCCAAAGCACACCCACAATGGGGATAGCACCGTCGCACACGGCGCACGCGCTGATCCCGCTCTGCCAGTACTTGTCCTCCCCGGCAATAAAGAGCCGCTTCGCGGTCGCGCCCGTGGCGACGATCAGCGAGTCCGCGGCCAACGGCGCAATCTCCTGGTCCTCCGTGCCCTCGGGCCACGCGAGGAAGGGCCGCTTCGTCAGGTCCACCTTGGTGATGGTCTCGGTGATGATCTCCGTCCCGTGGTGCTCGGATTGCTTCCGGAAAGCGTCCGTCAGCTCGGTTCCGCTGATTCCGGTGGGGAATCCGGGGAAGTTTTCAACCTGTCGGATGGCCGGACGTCAGCCGGGTCCCCAGCGGTTCCGAATTGGAGCCCACATCCGTCGTCGTCGTCAGCTGGCCTCCAGCGGCGACTCCTCCCGCAAGAAAACCCTCGTACATCACGGGCTTGAGCATGGCCCGCGCCGTGTAAATCGCGGCGGTGTGTCCGGCGGGTCCGGAGCCTGCGCCGCAACAGAGGAGAGGAACCGAGATCAGGGAACGCCATGGGACGCGGAATCGCAGCGCGTGCCACTCACCGACAATCAGGACCTTGACTTTCCTCTGGCCCTCGGGCGCAGAGCCATTCGTGTGGGGCACAGGGGCCATGGCGGAGGAAGGAGGGGAGGTGTGGAGCTTCGCCGACGCGTCGGCAAAGAACTGGGCGTGGAAGCGCAGAGAAGCCGGGCCGGCCGAAGGAAATGGTTGCTCGGCGACGAAGATGGTAGCTCCTGCGGCTGCTAGTCTGGCTGCAGGCCGGAACAGCCTGTTCATAAATCCTGGGACCAAGTTTTGAGATGAGCCGTGGGCTTGGTCATCGGAACCCGTCGGAAAGACTTTTCGCGACGACCTTTTTCCGGTACCCGGACTGGCCGTGATCGACACCATCTTCAGCTCCTGCAACCGTGGATGGGCATTCCGCACTCAACCAGGGTATCGACGTGCACCGACGGCAGGGAAGCTACAGCGACTGCGAGCCATCGCCCGATGATTCCCATCCCCGCAGCTTCCGGTGCACCCATGCCAGGTCCCACCTGCGATGCGCTGTCAGAAAATCGTCCGAACAACGTGACCCGCGGGTCCGATGGACCCACATGTAGTCCTGCAGCCGGTGATCCGCCACCGCCGAGACGATGTGCTTCCTGGCCGCCGCAGCGTCGTTCCGCACCTCGGCAAGGAGCCCGGCGTACAGCCTGATGTAGAAGGATGCCCTCGACGGGGGTGATGCAGATGCGACGAGCTGGGGATCGGTCAGTGGGTGAGCGGCGCACGTCGAGGAAAGGCACGCACGTCTTCCGGAGTCGATCGCCCCAGGTAACAGGAATAGATCTGCCGCATGTAATCCCGGGGGTCCTGATTGGAAATCTGCTTCTCGTCCTCGAGCACGGCCCTGCTTTGCGGCGATTCCGGGCCGTGCACCCTCGCCAGGCACAGGTACCTCCACAGCGTCTCCTCTGCCCCCGTGAACGGATCCAGGTGATGGGGGAAGCGATCCAGGTGATGGTAAGATATCCGTTCGTCGCCGTTATGGGCCAGCATCCCCACCGGCGTCGTGCGCATTGACGCGGAGGTCCACTTCGAACTGCGCCGCCCCTTCCGCGAACCTCTCCACGTAGTACAGCGACAATGCCCTCTGCCACAGCCTAGGTTCGATGCGGGGGTCCATCGCCAGCGCGGCGTCAAAGTCCGAGATCGACTCGTCGACCTGCGCGAGGCGGAACCGGGCCATGCCGCGCTCCACGAGCAGCGACGGCGAGGGCCGCGCTGTCAAAGCCGAGGAGAGCTGCGCGACCTCGGCAAGGAGCCGATCTTCGCGGGCGGACGTCGAGGAAGGAGAGGAGGAGAGCTTGGAGCCCATGGCTGTCCGAATCGCGAGGAGCCGGTTAGAGGCAGTAAACATGCACTATCGGACGATCGTTGGGAGACGTCTCGAAGTCCGATGGTAGATCCAGCGCTCAATCAATGTGTACAATACGAAAAGACCCAGATCCTTAATCCTCCTTCTTCTTCTTCGGCGCCGCCCGGTACTGGAGCGATGCCTGCGTCAGCCGGAGCGGCCGGCGGAGCAAGGAGGACGACGCACCTCGCCGACCACGATCGCGTGGTCCCTCTCGTACGGCTCCAGGGTCAGCTGCTCCCGGGGCTTGATCTTCTCCTCCTGGAGCTTCTTGACCTCCTTGGCAAAGACCACCGAGGCGTCGACGGTCGAGTCGATGCAGTTGGCCTGGCGAGACGGCCCAACGCCGTCAGGGACAACCAAATCGCAGTATTGTAACGTAACACGCCAAATACCTTGATGCTGATGACGATGTGTCCGCCCTGCTTGAGGAACATGTGCGCGTTCATGGCGATGATGCGGGCCTGGTCCGGCTGCGCCACGTCCGCAAACACCGTGTCCACCATGCCGACGAGCATGCGGTACTTCTGGGGATGCCGCGCGTCCTCGATGATGGGGATGACGTTGGTCCGCTTCTTGGCCACGTTGATGAGGTCGCGGCCGGAGCGGTGCGAGAACTCGACGGCATAGACGAGGCCGGTCTGCAAACGCCGGCCGGTCAGGGTTCAAAGAAGAATGTCATGTCAGGAAAGGCTCACGGGGCCGACGATGTCCGCGACGTGGCTGACGGACGTGCCGCTCGCGGCTCCGAGGTACAGGACCCTGTCGCCGGGCTTGATCCAGATGCTGTCGAGGCCGCCGAGGATGCCCGCGGCGAGCTTCGAGCGGAACGGGTTCCAGACGCGGTACTCGGTCTTGGTAGCGTCCGCGTTCTTTGAAGCGTAATGGCGTGAGCCGGTGCGTGTGTAGGGCAACCCGCCGGATCCCACCTCGACGCTGATCCGCTTCTCGCCGTAGACGCTCTCCCCGGGCACGATGTTCTTGGTGACGAGCAGGTCCTCTTTGCCGCGCGCGACGAACACGCCCTCGTGCCGGTGCGGCTCGATGACCACCTTTGCGCCGCCGCCCCTGCCGCCGCCCCTGCCCCGCCCGCGGGGGGCGCCGCGCCCACCGCCCCTGCCGCGCCCGCCTCCTGTGCAAAAGCAAGCGATTGCGTGCAGCGTTGGCGCGAAGACGTCAGGCGTGCACCATAGTCCTCGCCCGCAGACCCACCTCTGCCGCCCACGCCGCCGCCGCGCGCGCCGAATCCTCCGCGCCCGCCGGGCGACCCGCCGCGCCCGCCGCGTCCGCCGCCGCCGGGCGACCCGCGGCCGAACCCGCGCCCGCCGCCGCGGCCCCCGCGGTCGCCGCCGCCTCGCCCGCCGCCCCGGACTGCCGAGAAACGGGTTGGTCCCGCCATCGCGC